TTAAATACAACGGCACATGATTCATTTAATTGAACTTGTCAAATGTGATTACCTAAATTGGTGCTTTAGCACTACTGGTACTAGAGAGTAAATTGCCCAAATAGTCACTGAACTTTACGCCATGCTTCCAAGGAATCACTGAACTTTACAAATCACCAAAGTCTTCACTGAACTTTGTAAAAGGTTTCCACGAGATCACTGAACTTTAAAAATCACCTCATTCATTACTAAACTTTGCAAAAGGTTTCTACTAGATCACTAAAATTTGCAAAATGTTTCCTAGGAGATCACTGAATTAGTGACCCCTAGGAAACATTTTACAAAGTTCAGTGATGAATGAGGTGATTTTTAAATTTCAGTTACTTCGTGAAAATCTTTTGCAAAGTTCAATGATAACTTGGATGATTTTGAAAGTTCAGTGACCTCTTGGAAGCATCGCGTAAAGTTTAGTGACTATTTGGGCAATTCACTCCACCAAAACCCTATTCTCATTTTCTCTCCTCTATATTCCACCTTCTTTCTAGTCATTCGCCGCCACCACCATACCGTCGGCACCACCACTGTTGGTACCACCTCACCACAACCTACACACCCACAAAATAATCGCCAAACTCGCGATCCATCAATGCCATCATCACCACAAATCTACCATCTTCACTTTAACCATGAACACCATACCAAGCAGATCAAGAGAAACAAATGAGATGGGGAACACAAAAACAAATCGCCGCGCACCTCCTACGACCCAACAACTTACAACGTCGATGATGTCGGAATTTGCGAAAATTTGTGGGGAAATGACGGATCATTGAAGGCCACAATGACTTACAGCGACTATGATACCAAGATTTGGGAAAAGTTGTGGGGACATGACGGGATCCGAGGAAAGGTTGGGATCTATTACAGCGATGAACGACAGAATCTGGAAAATTTGTGTCGCGCAGCGGCAGAGCAGTAACATCATGAGGTGGTGGTGATTTTCGTGAGGTTGTGGCAGTGCTGATTATTTTTTGGGGGGTTTTGTTGGATATGTTTGTTGTTGTCGCGGTGGTAGTGTCGGTGTCAGTGGTGGTTGCTGGTTGTGGTGGTGGTCGTCGCAGTGTCAGGTGGTGCAGCTTTTGTTGTAGATTTGTATTGTTGATTTTTTTGGGCTGCGATGGCAGCAGTTTTGTTGGATATCGTTGGTCGTGGAATCGGTGGTACCATTGTGGAGTGGGGTAGGTAGTTGGATTAAAGAGGGTTTGTGACTAATTATTTAAGATTGTGACCATTAATTTAGGTATCATGTGACTAAAAAATAATATGTAATCAATAAATTGTGACTAATAAATAATATGTGATCTAAAAATTTGGATTGTAACTCATAAAATTTGAGATATGTGACTAATAAATAAATTGTGCTATAAAAAAAATTATTTGTGATTGAGAAATAATTTGTGTCAATCCTTTCAAAAATTTGTTACCAAATTGTATAGAATTGTAACCTTAATATATTTAATTGCGACTTATAATTTTTTTGATGTGTGACTAATGAATAAATTGTGATGGTACCATTGTGGAGTGGGGTAGGTAGTTGGATTAAAGAGGGTTTGTGACTAATTATTTAAGATTGTGACCATTAATTTTGGTATCATGTGACTAAAAAATAATATGTAATGTGATCTAAAAATTTGGATTGTAACTCATAAAATTTGAGATATGTGACAAATAAATAAATTGTGCTATAAAAAAAAAAATTATTTGTGATTGAGAAATAATTTGTGTCAATCCTTTCAAAAATTTGTTACCAAATTGTATAGAATTGTAACCTTAATATATTTAATTGCGACTTATAATTTTTTTGATGTGTGACTAATGAATAAATTATTTTGATTTGTGACCGTGAAATAATTTGTGATATATAAAATTTTTAATTCATGATCGAGAAATAATTTGTAACCAATTAATTTGATAATTTGTAACAAATAATATAGAATTGTGACCTTAATATATTTAATTAGTAAAATTTATTTTTAATTAATTATTTCATAAATATAATTTTATTAATATCCGATTTTTGAAATAATAAACTTTGTTTCTTAATTTTAAATTGGGTCAAACTTAATCTCCTAGATTTGAAAATCTCTCTTAAAAATACCCATAAGAGGTAGTTACACCATACACCTCCAATAAGTTTCACATTTCGACAGTACTACATGTTCTTTTAAGTTCAATTATATGAGTAATGTTATTTGTACATTATTGCGTACAGATTAATGTACTTATTGATGATATGAAAGCTAGAGAGAAAATCAGTCATGTTACTATAATTTATATCATCATTTTGTACACGATGATATACAATTAGCATTTACATTTACTATGAAATCAGATTTAATCCAAACCGCCCTAGCACAAACTCCCGAGCCCAGCAAAGTTAAAATTTCTCTAACTAATGTTGTAAATATTTTGGAGAGTCCCCCAGCACCCGGTTAGTGTACACATGCCCTACCCCAACTGCTGCTACACAAATTGCTACAGATTTAACAATCTCCTTCTCCTCCTCTGTCATCTTAGTCTTCGTTGAACTTTTTTCATGCCTTGAAATTTCACTGCTTTCACAGAATGCCATGATGTCTTTTATGTGTCCCTTCTTATCTTAGTTTGATGACAGAGACCAGAAAAAAGAGGATTTATAAAGTGGTGGGTGGGAAGATTTGATGACAGTTTCTCTGCCATTATTTTTTTTTCCCAATGTGATTATCGTTCGCATTAGAATGTGGATTTAGTACTTACTAGGAATTAATGTATGAAGTCGAAACAACCTTTGAAGACTGGACTCTGCAAAAACCTATGGGAGCAATGCATTGATTTGCAAAATTTCATCTAGATTAATATTATTTAGCACCATTGGTGTCAACGATCAATCAAGATGGCAATTGTATATCATTAAATGATATATACGCTTAAATATAACGACACACGATTCATTTAATTGAACTTGTCAAATGTGATTACCTAAATCGGTGCTTTAACACTATTGGTACTAGAGAGTAAATTGCCCAAATAGTCACTGAACTTTACGCCATGCTTCCAAGGAATTACTGAACTATAAAAATCACCAAAATCTTCACTGAACTTTGTAAAAGGTTTCCACGAAATCACTGAACTTTAAAAATCACCAAAATCTTCACTAAACTTTGTAAAAGGTTTCCACGAAATCACTGAACTTTAAAAATCACATCATTCATTACTAAACTTTGCAAAAGGTTTCTACGGGATCACTAAACTTCGCAAAATGTTTCTTAGGAGATCATTGAAATCGTGACCCCTGAGAAACCCTTAACAAAGTTCAGTGATGAATGAGATGATTTTTAAGGTTAAGTGACCTTGTGAAAATCATTTGCAAAATTCAGTGATAACTTGAGTGATTTTGAAAGTTCAGTGACCTCTTGGAAGCATGACGTAAAGTTCAGTGACTATTTGGGCAATTCAGTCGGTACTAGATAACGTTATTTTTTAATCTATATTAATATTTTCACATTTCATTATGGATCTTGACTACTGGGCTACCAGCATGATTTTGATATATGTGGGACATAATTTGAATATGGAAAAATCCATATATGATTCGCACGAATGGGGTCCTATATATCTTTTGAGATTATGACCATACCTATTAAATAAAAGAGGATTTCATATTGCAAATATATTTTCCCCTTTAATTCATTTTAATGTCCAAGGAACTGAGATATCGATCAACAATTTGATCTCACCTGTTGATACTTGAAATAATTTCAAGTTAGTAATCAAAGTCTGTTACCGTTTACAATTAAATTCCCATATACGATAATCAAGTGAAATCAAATTTATATCATCAATTCACAAATTAAATTTGACGTATTCTAGTCGGTTACATTCAAAATATATTCTCAATTTTACTGCAAAAGTCAAAAGATAGACTTTAATAAAATCGAGACGATTTTGTAAAAGTAAAGTTTTTGTTTTTATTTATTGATCACGGACTTCAAATTTTTAAATCAAATATTTTTTGGTTTAATAACTTAAGCACTCGTTTTATAACATCAAACCAATATACGAACAAATACAAGCTCAAATCAATAAAATCAGTTACATAGAAAAATAAATTAACAAATGAATATTTTATTTCAAAATATCACGATTACTAATGTATTTTACTCATGTTTTACCTTTAACTTTAATTTTGCAATGCTTAGGGAGTGAGAATTCATAGAGACGACTAGAAAAAGGGAGGCTTCTAAGCAAAATTTGAATTCTTCGGGTCGAATAACATCCATGATTCAGGGGTCAAGCGGATGGCTTTTTCACTCTAAAATTTTGCATATTTTAATGAAAAATTTTGATTGACGAAATCCATGATCTCATTTGTCTTTCAATCTTCATTATGTACTAGGTTTAATTATAACTAAACCAAAATATTGGCACTTATTGTAGTTGTCGAGCTGTGATAGATTGGACTCATCCATTGCTCCAAAACTCTCATAATCTCAGAAAACATACTAAAATGAAAGTGGTCCACGGCCTTATGATATTGTACTCATAAAAATTCGAACTTTCATCATCCAATTATTTTCCTGGAAACCGCCTTAACTTCACTCCATCAATCAAGCAAAACTCCAACGGTATTGTTGGACTTCGTTTTTCGTTAACCCAATGAAAAGCCCCGTCTCTGTCGCTCACTTGCGTAATCAATTTTTTCTTCAATAAAGTTCATATTCAATCTACAGTTTTTCTAGTGAAGACAAAGCTGGTAGCTGGACTCATGTGTCCTATATTTCTAACAAACAGATTCCTGGTCCCCTAGCCATGGCCAAAAGTCTTGAATAAATACAATCACAGGGAACTTCAAGATTGAATGAAAAATGGATTTAGTTACAGTTATATTATTCTCTATTTGCAGTACATTGTGTTTCCTTTTTATTCTGAGTCTAATTAGATTCATTGATAAGGTATGGTGGACTCCAATTCGACTACAGACTATGATGAAATCACAGGGAATCAGAGGTCCTCCATACAGATTTCCTCATGGGAGTACCAGAGAAATCTCTGAAATGAGAAGCCAGTCTATGGGAAAGCCCATGGAAATGTCACACACTATATTTCCTAGAATACAGCCTCATATTTATTTGTGGACGAAAACTTATGGTAAATTTAGCTTCTTATTCGAATTTCTTGTTTTCTTATTTGATCTTACCAATGAACTGAGCATAGTGGTGGAAAAGCTGTGCAAATTTAATTTTACTTGATTGTTTTACTTTCTTGTTGACAGGGAAGAATTTTCTTAATTGGCATGGTTCACAAGCACAGTTGTTTGTGACAGAGCCAGAGCTAATCAAAGAAATACTGATGAATAGAGAAGGCTTCTACCCGAAAATGGAAATGGAAGGGTATGCGAAGAAGCTGCTAGGGGAAGCACTTATAACGAATGAGGGTGAAAAATGGGCAAAGATACGGAAACTGGCAAACCATACTTTCCATGCAGAGAGTCTGAAGGTATATCTTAGAACTTAGAATAAAGCCACTTGCACGTACTTTTTGTACATCATCCTTGTTGGCAAGATGTGATTGGCGAAATTTTTTTTTTTTTTTTAAACCATCCATTGGTAACTTGACACGTGATGGAAAGTACACTATGATGTGCACAAAGCATGATTGTAGAGCATGGCTTCTAATGCGAAGGGCTTATCTGTATGTAGAGCATGGTTCCAGAAATGAGTTCAGGTGTTGAGATGCTGCTTGAGAGGTGGAAAGATCGTATCGGAGAAGAGATCGATGTGTTTAAAGAGTTCGGACTGTTGACTACTGAAGTAATTTCAAGGACAGCATTCGGAAGTAGCTATGTCGAAGGGGGACATATATTTGAAATGGTGGCAAAGTTGACACAAATAACTGTTAGAAATATTTACAGAGTCAGATTTCCTGGCATAAGGTATATTACGCCCCTGTTTGGTGCATATTTTGAGTCCAATAATGCATTTTTTAATTTGATGTGATGGATAATATGTGGTTGAAAAAGAAGAAAAAATTATTGATGTGATAGAAAATATAGAATATGTAGTTGAAAAATAAGGAAAAGTTATTGATGTGACGGAAAATATTATTTTATTAAAGAATGTGTGGTTGAAAATGAGTTGAAAAATAAGAATGAAAAAAACAATGTGGCTCAAACAGGGGCGTATATTCAACGTACGATATACAATTCAACTAAAATTTGATGATTAATTGATCATCCCATTTTGTGAACTTCTGCAGTATGCTATTAAAATCAGATGATGAGATCGAAGCACTGAAACTCGAAAAAAGAATAAAAAGTTCCATAGTCGAGCTTGTAAAGAAGAGGGAAAAAGTGAAAAATAACGGAGAATTTGAAGATTTCGGAAGTGATTATCTTGGACAACTTTTGAAAATCTCTCATGAAGCTGATACAAAAAAGAGGATTACAATTGAACAGATGATTGATGAGATCAAAGCAGTGTATGGTGCTGGACATCTTACAACTACAAGCTTACTTTCATGGTGCGTTTTTCTACTGGCAATCCATACTGACTGGCAAGAGAAAGCAAGAGAGGAGGTGTTTGGAATATTTAGCAGTGAAAACCCGAATTCAGATGGCATTGCACGATTGAAAATAGTAAGCCTTATTCCCGTTACATTTGGGGTCAGCATCGTGAATCCATTTTTTAAATTTTTTTTTACATCTACCCCTCCATTTCTAACCTATTTTACTAAGATCAAATCACTCTTACTCTCGTTGTACTAATAAAATAACAAACTACTTATTCTGTCTGTTTCAAAAAAAATCATTTCGCCTTTTCAATATATTCATTGCTAGGGTTCGTTCTTTAGCAACCACAATTGATCATGTTAGCCCTCTTCTAAAGTGTTCGACTAAGATCAAACATGACTCTTACTCAGTAGGCTGATACAGTTAATTAATTTATAATTTTTTGTTGACATGTAGATGAACATGATTATCAACGAGTGTCTCCGACTATATCCTCCGGTTCTCACTTTAACAAGAAAAGTCGAGCAGGGAGTTAAACAAGGGAATCTGAACCTTCCCGGCAATATCAACATCTTCATTTCAATACTGGCACTACATCACAACCCTCAAATTTGGGGTAAAGACGTTCATGTTTTCAAACCAGAGAGATTTGCCGGAGGAGTTGCTAAAGCTACAAACAATAATGTTGCTGCATTCTTTCCTTTCGGGATGGGGCCTCGAACTTGTGTAGGCTTAAACTTCACCACCAATGAAGCAAAGATTGCACTTTCAATGATTCTGCAGCGTTACAAACTGTCGTTGTCTCCTAATTATGTCCACTGCCCTGCTGATATTTTCATTCTTACACCAAAACATGGGGTTCAAGTCATTCTCCAAGCAATTTAAAGGGAGAAAAGTGTTTCACTTCTAGGATAATTGTGTTTACATGGTAGACATGTAGATTTTCTGCAATTATGTTTTGTATCATATGTAAAGAATAATATGTGAAATCCGGTTCCATATTGCCAAAGAAATGTGGAGCTAACTGCATGCTTGGTTAAGCTTAATTAGTTCACTAATAAGAATGTTGTAAAAAGTTTATTTTAATGTTTAAAATCAAAAATAAAACTTACTGTTAGAATTTGAATGTGACCTGAATTTCTTGTTGAAATAATTGAAGAATTCTAATTAAAGTGCACGTCATGAAAAATTCAAATTTGGAATATTATTAGAGTCATATGTCATGTTGAAATTCTATTTTGGAAGCCTATTGAGAGTTGAAATTTGTTTTGAACTCAATTTTATGGTATCCTGCTTCATTAACAACTCTATTAGGTGGGTTTGAACATCTCCTACTTATTCCCTATAAATATTAGGCTCTTCTATACAATTTTATAATGTGAGAAAATAAATTACTAGAATTATATGATCCATTGTAATTTTCCCTATTCTCCATTATTCTCGAGTCAATAAAATCTCTTAATATCTCTGTCATATTCTTGTCTTCTTTATTCTTTTGTTTGATCGTATATTTCATTATTATTTGTCATATAACTTCAACATCTTAATCCAGTGGTTTGTTTCACTATAATTGGTATCAGTGCTATTCTCGTATCTTGTTTGTTTTACAACAATAGGTATCAGAGCTAGGTTCAGCAGTTCTGCAAGAGCGCAATATTTCATTTGTTTGAGATTTTTTTATTTGTAATGGCTTCCATGAAGTATGACACTCCGCTTTGGATCAGAGCACTAGATTTTCGCTATGGCATGTTAAGATACCTGCAGTTCTCGCACAACTGGATTTGGATGATGCATTTATGGGAATTGACAAGATGCTCACAACTTTGACTGCGGAGTATAAATTATGGAAGGATAAGAAAACAGTTTCTCACATTCATCTTCATCTATCAAATACTATTGTTTAGGACGTTTTGAATGAGAATTCAGTAGCTGCTTTATGATTGAAGTTGGAGCAATTGTGCATGACCAAGAGTCTTACAAGCAAATTGCATCTCAAACAGCGGTTATACTCTCATCACATGGAAGATATTTAGATACTTCAGGCGAAGTAGACCTCGTGGAGAACGTTGTAATTGATGGAAAACTCTTGGCTATTTCTGATATTGAGTCTAAATCGGAAGATGATAGGATTTTTGATTTAGCATTTGTATTTCATATATGTCATAATAAGGACTTGTTTGCTACATATGAAATTATTTCCAAAGGTGTTGCAGTTATGGAAAACAACACATCTTGTCGGGTTGTTGGAATTGGCACAGTTAGATTAAAGCTTTTGGATGGGATAATTAGAACACTTGGTCAGGTTCGACATGTTTCAGATTTGAAGAAAAATCTCATCTCGCTATCTATCATTGATTCAAAAGGTTATGAGTTTTTTGGTGGATGTGTATCTTTGAAGGTTTGTAAGGATGTCCAAATTGTATTGGATAGACATAAAAAGTCTCAGTTATACATCTTGTAGGGTCGTGCAGAATTTAGAAGAGTCAATCAACACAAGTTCAGGACGTGGTGGACATTCAATTTGATACAATACCTTTAGGAGCTCATAAAGAGTCGAATTTGAAGAATACAGTTCAGTGGAGTTCGGACCCAATGGAAAATGGTATGTGGATGCTGATTTTGTTGAGCATGCTTTAAATGGAGTAGAAAGTGTACAATCTAGCAAGGTGGCTTCTGTAAAAGCATTTGGTATCGATTCTGCTTTGAGGTGTGTTACAACACATTTTGGTAAATTATAAAATCATTATGATTTTTTGAAATTTGAGGTAATTTTACAGAATAGTGCTTGAATTCATTAGAATAGGTGGAGTATTTTGTGTTTGGTTGGAGAAATTAATTTTTTGATTATTGTTGAAGAAGTCGGTTCATTCCTTTGTGGAATTCGTGTCAAGGAGGAAATTGTTAGACTTTGGGTGTGACCCGAATTTCTTGTTGAAGTAATTGAATAATTCTAATTGAAGAGTTATATGTCATATTGAAATTCTATTTTGGAAGTCCATTGGGAGTTGGAATTCGTTTTGGACTCAATTTTATGGTATCCTACTTCATCGACAGCTCTATTAGGTGGGTTTGGACATCCCCTACTTATTCCCCATAAATACTAGGCTTTTCTATACAATTTTATGGTTTGAGAAAATAGATTATTAGAATTAGAGGATCCATTATAATTTTCTCTCTTCTCCATTATTTTTGAGTCAAACATCCCCTACTTATTCTCTATAAACACCAGACCCTTCTATACAATTTTATAATATGAGAAAATAGATTACTAGAATTATGGGATCTATTGTAATTTTCTCTTTCCTCCATTATTTTTGAGTCAATTAAATCTCTTAATTCATCTACTATATTTTTGTCTTCTTTATTCTTTTGCTCGATCATATACTTCATATACTTCATTAATATTTGCAATATAATTTAAACATCTCAATCCAGTGGTTTGTTTCACAACAATTGGTATCAGAGCTATTCTGATATCTTATATATTCTACAACACTTACTTATTTAATGGTTAAGTTAAGAGTTTCTTAACAGTTAATAAATTTTAAATTCTTGTCTTACAAAGGCATGTACACTCGGGCATACGTGAAAGAAAGCACCATGCTAGTACGGGTTCTAGGCCTTTAACTGCCAGTTTATTAATATATGTTAGGATCTGCAGCAATTCAAGAACTCCAGTCGATCGAAGCCAGAAAAATGGATAGAGAACAACTATGTTTTGTTAATCTACTGTTGAGCAAAGGAAGAAAATTATATGATTTACTATTGATGAACAGAAATAAAATGAAATGAAATGAAATTACAGAATTAATAGGCATTCAGGAGGCCTACTTGTCCCAATTTTCTCCCTAACTAGTGCGACGCACGTGCAATACACGTAACATAGTGTAATTGGCTATGTAATAGAATATATATAAAAAATTATTTGTATTAAGCATTAGTTACACAAAACTCAAGCATATGATACTAAACTAAGAGAATCCCGAAATTAATATCCAACATTTTGATCACCATTATTTATCAAGAGAAGGCAAATTATTATTGACAACATTATTCTCAACACCAAAATGTGATCTCATTATGACATTTACGAACTTCACAAAAAGCCATAATAATAATAATAATCGAAATCATATGCACACTAAGGATTCTATAATACTGAATAAATCAAGCTTCAACTGATTTTTATTTGGATAATACAAATGGAATGTAACGCCGTTTAAATTGAAAAACGCTCCTTTTGAATTTCAAAAAATTATTAATTACATTTTTAATCCATAAAATAAACTTTTCAATAGTTTATATAGATGATGTTCTAATATCTTCTAAAAGTTTAGAACAACGTTTCAAACATTTAGCCCTTGTTTGGAGGAAATTCTCACCAATGTTTAATGAAACATTGGGCGGTTGGAAAGAAGGTGGCCCCCTTTCCAGCCGTAAAAGTTTGAATTTTCATGAATGCCCTTTCAAAATTAGTGTATTAGATGTCAAAAGGGTATATATGTAATTCTGTATTTCTTGGTCAATAATGACTGCTGATTTTTACTGTGTAACAGTAACAAAATTCTAAAAATTTGTTGAGAATCTCTTCCGAACGTGCCTTTAATATCTTTTTCAAAATAATAAAATCTGTATTAGCCGTTTTTGCTAAGAAAAATAATTTTAAGTCAAACTAGAATTAAGTTTCTAGGACATTTGATTCATTAAGGAATCATTATCATACTTCAAAAAAGTATAGAATTTTCAAGTAAATTTTCAGATAAAATTCTAGATAAAACCAGTTTTCAAAGGTTCTTAGTGTATCAATGTTGCCGATTTTGTTAAAACATAAAGCAAATTTGTGAATTCCTTTATCAAAGATTTATGAAAAAGTCCACCAAAGTGGAGTGAAGAACATACGATAGAAGTCAAGTTCATTAAGGAAGTTGTAAAGATCCTATAGTACTGTCAACCCAAATGCCTTCCTCATCGTTGAAACCAATGCCTCAGACATTGGTTATGGAAGGATTTTCAAATAGAATATTCAAAATCAAGAACGATTAGTCTGTTACCATTCTAGAATATAGATTGGTGCTAAAAGAACTATTTCACTGTCAAAAAAGAGATTTTATCAATAGCACCATGTATTTCAAAATTTCAAAACAATCTTATCCAAAATCGTTTCTTATCAAAACAGACTGTAAAGCCTATAAAGACGTTTACAAAAAAGACGTGAAGAATCTTAAATCAAAACAAATCTTTGCAAGATGGCAAATTATTTTGTTATGTTTCAATTTTGAAACTTAGCCCCTCTTTGAGCCCCATTTTCACAAAAAAATGAGTTTTGTAATAATGATTTTTTGGAGAATGTGTTGTTAAAATGTAGAAAATGTTTTGAATTTACGTGTAAATTATTTTATTGAGAGAATGTGATTAAAAATGAGTTTTTAGATTATGAAACTCAAATAGTAGATCTTTTTTACCCATATTTTCTTACAAGGTTGAAAATTTTATAAATAGAGAGACAATTCAAGAGAAAAATCAAGAGAAAAAAATCAAACGAAGGAAAAAATGTGAGAATATGAGTGGCATCAAAGAAAAAGAGAGGAAATTAAAAACGATTTCGATTAATCATTCTCTATTACAAAGTACAAATTCTAGCACTGCTTCTCAAAAGACGACTCAAGCATCAAACTCTTCAAAAAATCAAGCCTCTTCAAGTCAATTACAAACGAAAAATACTTTTCAAGTTCTGGAAAATATTCCTATACCCAAAAACCCATTTTAGAGTGAGTATATACCTCCTTTCAAGCCAGTTAAACTATTTGATATTGGTCCTCCAAAAGCTCCTCAAAAATCTCAAAACCCAACTAATTTCAAAAAGAATGTTGAGTTGAATCTAGTAA